GTGTGTTAATAGTACGCACTTAAAATATTACATTTTACTTCGTCTTTCTTTAAGCAATATTGGCATCAACTATTGGATGTAACGTTATATTAAGTGTGACTGTGAATTTAAGTGACAGGTTTTAAATTAGCCACTTTTAGTGATTGCATGTTACTATTAGTCGTTATATTAATTGCTGATAAAAATTATCATCTGAATATATATAATGTTTGCAATGTCTGAAATTATCATCATCCATGGATATCCATGAACAATTATTATTAATTGAAGAATTTTTTTGTTGATATACGTTTATTAACCATTTTATAGTTAATGTAGTCTTATCAAAAGTCACTGATTGCTATCATTTCCGAAATAAAATTTTATTTGGCTAAATAGAGAAAATTTTTTATTAAAATTTCTGGTTGCAAGTGAACAAATACAATTTTGAACAAATACCAATACTCTTGGGTGTATAAATTTTTCTGAAATAAATTTTTATTATCATTATTAGGAAAAATTAACGCCTTTAGACTGAACACCAATCTTGAATGATTAAGGTTGACTAATGATAATCTTTGCTGAACAGAATTATGCCGCACTAAGAGTAATCTTCAAATCCTTGATTTACCAATAACTTAATCATGATTATCCAGGACCGTTCTAAAAGTTTAAAAACCATTTAACAATAATTTTATTTTTTAAACTGGCTTAATTCGTCAATTGTTTTAAGAATAAATTTTTTTTTTTAATATTTTATTATTTACCAATATTTCGACTATATTCTGCTGCACCCTGAAGATAACTATACAATATAATATAGTCGAAATATTGGTTAAATAAAATCTTTTGAAAAATTTTTTTAAAAAGTGTATTATTTAACTATTACCCATTTTAACCGTTACAAAAAAAACAAAATTATTATTAAGAAATATTTCACCATTAAAACAATAAATATTAAAACCATTTAATAAAAATAATAATCATCGTTTTAAACTTATTTCTTTTTTTTGGAAAACTTTTATTTAAAATACATAACTAAAACACAAATTTTTTTTTAAATTAATTATTCAATTGCGCCTAGTTACAAATAACAAACTAATTAGCAATATTTTTATACCGGCGAATTAAAGCACAATGCAAATAAAAATTACGGTTCCAAAATATTTGAACCCAATGTTTAATTTTTCCTGGGACGATTTACTAATTACCTACATTAAGACTGAAAAGTTTTCGGAAATTCTCATTTAAAATTCGCGCGCTGTATATTTTTCGATATT